GTGTGGCAGGGTGGCTTCCTTTCCCTCCCCTCCCTCCGCTGTGCCTCCGCGTTGCTTTGGGGCTCTGTGGGGGAGGGCAGCCTGGGCCCGGGAAGTCCGGGCGCCGCGGTGCGGCCGCTGGGCCCGAGCCCCCAGGCCGGCCTGGCAGCCCGTCTCCCCGCGCCTCCACGCAGGGATGTGCCGGCGCGCGTTCCGGCCGGGCAATCAATTCAGTGCCTTACGCCTGTAAAATGCCCCCGCAGAAATCTCTGATCCTCCGAGAAGGTGCCGTGCACCCGTTAATCCCCCCGGATCCCCCTCCTGAGGTGCGTTTCCTGTGCAGAGTGTCAGCCTGCCTCAACTTTAGTTTGGTAAAAATCGGTCTCCTTTGATGGGCAGGAGGTGGTGCAGGGAAGCGTGGTGAGGAGAAGCTCAGGTGCCTGACTAACGGACACTGAATTAAAGTTGTGCAAGCTGGAGTTTAATCCTGACTGGACACTGGCTGCCTTGGGCTGTCAGATGGGGGGCTGGGAGGCTGTGGGAAGGCAGGAAGGGGTGGGGACCAAACGCCTGCTGAATGGATGTCCAGATTTGATCCAGCTGAGAACTGAAATTTCAAGGTAAACGTTTTGCCTTCTTAGCGGGTGTTTTGCTGCTTTTGAGCCAGGCGGCGTTCGCCGGTGCGTTGGGAAGTGGCAGATACTTGCGAGGCTTACACGCCCTAGTTCAGGATTCGTCTGGACACGTCTGGGGAGTCACACGTGAATGCTTCACAGGCACACTTGCACATGTGTATGTGAATTCAGGGACGCATTCAAACACGGGCTGGGGTTTGAATGGGAATCTAGAACAAGGTCTCCATCCAGGCCTGATCCAGTTTCTCAGGCACATATTGGCTTTAGTTTTCTTCGCTTGAGAGTCACATTAGACTCCGATGGTGAGCAAAGGCATGATTGACAAGAAAAAGGCATCAGTTCCCCCCCTCCACCCCTCTTTTTCTGCTAACCAGCCAGCCAACCAACGCAGCACACACACACACACACACACACACACACACACACACACTCCTTTTAGCTCCTTTTCTTTATGAGCACTGCCGTCAACCAGAAGTCTAAGGAGGCAGTCAAGGGGACAAAAAGAAAGCAAGAAAGAAAAGGGGGAGGGGGACATTCAACCCCTCAGAGATGGATTTCAGATATTATAGCACTGACACATGCCACTTGCTGCCCCCTCCTGTTTTTTTAATTTCACCTCCCAATCAGTCCACGTGATTAAAAATAATAATTGAAAGGAAGCACAGCTATCCAAAACATGCAATAAGCAACTCCAAAGATGGGGGAGCTGGCGATGTGGTAGCTCAGTTCAAATCGCAATGAATTATTTCAGGTTAGTTTAACATTCCGAGACAAACTGAAGCGGATCCCAAGGTAGAGGGAGGCTTTGGCGCTGGTCCTGGGTTTAGTTTTAGCTGATTCTCAGGAAACGTGAGACTGTCCTCTTCAATCGTAAGGTTTCAGGGGGTGCTCGGAAATGCAGATGCCCTCGCGGACTTCTTTGTAATCCGTTGTGCATAACTATTTCGGTGGTTGAAAGACATGGTTTGGTGGCATTGCTGACAGGATCAATGAAAAGTGGATGCAGGGTGCTCTCAGGGAAGCGCTGTTAAATGGCACCGTGCATACAATTAGGACGCTGATGTGCTTAATAGCTTGGTAGTGAAGTCCGTGATCAAAGAGAACTCTCTCCTTTTTTTCTTCCTTTTTCCCCTTACTCAAAGCTCCGGGAGACAATTGGTGATTTAAGAGCTTCTTCTGGCTCCTTTTGATGCATTATCATGTGTTCTTTTTCACCTTTGAAAAGTGTTCTTTTGGTTCCCACCCTGTTTAAAATAGCCCAAGTGTGGTGCTTCCTAGCCTCCCTGTGAACAGGGGAGACCTTCCTGGTGAACTGTTAACTGAAGAGGTTCTAAAATAAAAGAAGGGGGTTGGGTATAGGTGAGGTGGGTAACCTTGTAAAATGATGCTTCTTATCTCTTAAGTTAAAACCATGAAACTGAACCGACAGCCATTTTATGTATATTTATGGATTGGATTTGAACGTGGGGTGGGGTGGGCAGGAGTGGTGGTGCTAGGAAGAACATCAAAATGGGACTTCTAACCTACCTTTACCTTCACAAAGCAATGTGCCCTTGTTCACTCATGTGGATTTGAAACCAACCTTTAAATCAAAAAGGAATATCGGATTGTAATAAGGTCTGGAATATGTGTGTTTTCCACCAAGGGAGGTGGGAGAATTGTCATTCATACTCCCTCCTTCTGGATTTTGGAGATATGGTGTTAGGGAACAGAGAGAGAGAAAGAGAGAGAGAGACACTATCTGACTGATCTCTTTAAATTTTTAGTCATGTTCTCTTGTTTCCTTCTTCCTTCCCTCTCTCGCAGGAGGTAAAATGCACGCTTGTTGCCCCCCAGTAACTTTGGAACAAGACCTTCACAGAAAAATGCATAGTTGGATGCTGCAGACTCTGGCATTTGCTGTAACAGCGCTCCTCCTGTCCTGTGCAGAAACCATCGATTATTATGGGGAAATCTGTGACAATGCATGTCCTTGTGAGGAAAAGGACGGCATTTTAACTGTGAGCTGTGAAAACCGGGGGATTATCAGTCTCTCTGAAATCAACCCTCCCCGGTTTCCAATCTATCACCTTTTGCTATCTGGGAACCTTCTGAACCGTCTTTATCCCAACGAGTTTGTCAATTATACTGGGGCTTCGATTTTGCATCTGGGTAGCAATGTTATCCAGGACATTGAAACCGGGGCTTTCCATGGGCTGCGGGGTTTGAGAAGATTGCATCTGAACAATAATAAACTGGAAGTTCTGCGCGATGACACTTTCCTTGGTTTGGAAAACTTGGAGTACCTACAGGTCGATTACAATTACATCAGTGTCATTGAACCCAGTGCTTTTGGGAAACTGCATTTGTTGCAGGTGCTTATCCTCAATGACAATCTCCTGTCCAGTTTACCCAACAACCTTTTCCGTTTTGTGCCCTTAACGCACTTGGACCTGCGGGGGAACCGACTGAAACTTCTGCCCTATGTGGGGCTGTTACAGCACATGGATAAAGTTGTGGAATTACAGCTGGAGGAGAATCCCTGGAACTGCTCCTGTGAGCTGATTTCTCTCAAGGATTGGCTAGACAGCATCTCTTACTCAGCCCTAGTGGGGGATGTGGTTTGTGAGACCCCTTTCCGCTTGCATGGCCGTGACTTGGATGAGGTGCCCAAACAGGAACTTTGCCCTCGAAAGCTCATTTCCGACTACGAGATGAGGCCACAGACACCTTTGAGCACCACGGGGTATTTACACACCACCCCTGCTTCGGTCAACTCTGTGGCCACATCTTCCTCTGCTGTTTACAAACCCCCCTTGAGATCTCCTAAGGGGACTCGTCAACCCAACAAGCCCAGGGTGCGCCCCACCTCTAGGCAGCCGTCCAAGGACTTGGGCTACAGTAATTATGGCCCCAGCATCGCCTACCAGACCAAATCCCCGGTGCCTTTGGAGTGTCCCACCGCGTGCACTTGCAATCTACAGATCTCTGATCTGGGCCTCAATGTCAACTGCCAGGAGCGCAAGATAGAGAGCATTGCCGAGCTGCAGCCCAAGCCCTACAACCCGAAGAAGATGTATCTGACGGAGAACTACATCGCCGTGGTGCGCAGGGCGGACTTTCTGGAGGCCATGGGGTTGGATCTTCTGCACCTAGGCAACAATCGCATCTCCACGATCCAGGACCGCGCCTTCGGTGACCTCACCAACCTGAGACGCCTGTACCTGAACGGCAACCGGATCGAGAGGCTGAGCCCCGAGTTGTTCTACGGCCTGCAAAGCCTGCAGTATCTCTTCCTACAGTACAATCTCATTCGCGAGATACAGTCTGGCACGTTTGACCCCGTCCCGAACCTCCAGCTGCTGTTCCTGAATAACAACCTCCTACAGACCCTGCCCTCAGGTGTCTTCTCGGGCCTGACCCTCCTCAGACTGAACCTGAGAAGCAACCACTTCACCTCCTTGCCAGTAAGTGGAATTCTGGACCAACTGAAGTCGCTCATCCAAATAGATTTGCACGACAATCCTTGGGATTGTACGTGCGACGTGGTGGGCATGAAGCTGTGGGTGGAGCAGCTCAAGGCCGGCGTCCTGGTGGATGAGGTGATCTGCAAGTCACCAAAGGAGTTCGCGGAGACCGACATGCGGTCCCTTAAGTCGGAGCTGCTGTGTCCCGACTACTCTGACGTGGTGGTTTCCACGCCCACGCCATCCTCCATCCAGGTCCCCGCGAGGACCAGCGCAGGGACCCCGGCCTTAAGAGCAAACAGCACTGGGGACCCCGCGGGCCCAGGCGCGGGCGGAGGCGCGTCCTCCGTGCCGCTGTCCGTGCTGATCCTCAGCTTGCTGCTGGTGTTCATCATGTCCGTCTTTGTGGCCGCTGGGCTGTTTGTGCTGGTCATGAAGCGCAGGAAGAAGAACCAGAGCGACCACACCAGCACCAACAACTCGGACGTGAGCTCCTTCAACATGCAGTACAGCGTGTACGGCGGGAGCGGCGGCGCTGGGGGCCACCCCCACGGCCACGGCCACCACCGCGGGCCGGCGCTCCCCAAGGTGAAGACGCCCGCAGGCCACGTGTACGAGTACATCCCCCACCCGCTGGGCCACATGTGCAAAAACCCCATCTACCGCTCCCGGGAGGGCAACTCCGTGGAGGATTACAAAGACCTGCACGAGCTCAAGGTCACCTACAGCAGCAACCAGCACCTACAGCAGCCGCCGCCGCCCCCCCAGCAGCAGCAGCAGCCGCCGCCGCCGCCCCCCCAGCCACAAGCCCCGCTGCAGCTGCAACTGCAAACCGGGCCAGAGGAGAGGCGGGAAAGCCACCACTTGCGGAGCCCCGCCTACAGCGTCAGCACCATCGAGCCCCGAGAGGACCTGCTGTCGCCAGTACAGGACGCAGACCGCTTTTACAGGGGCATTTTAGAACCAGATAAACATTGCTCACCCACCCCTGCTGGCAATGCCCTCCCGGAATATCCCAAATTCCCGTGCAGCCCAGCTGCGTACACTTTCTCCCCCAACTATGACTTGAGGCGCCCCCATCAGTATTTGCACCCAGGGGCTGGGGACAGCAGGCTGCGCGAACCGGTGCTCTACAGCCCCCCCAGTGCTGTCTTTGTAGAACCGAACCGGAACGAGTATCTGGAGCTAAAAGCAAAACTAAACGTTGAGCCGGACTACCTCGAAGTGCTGGAAAAACAGACCACATTTAGCCAGTTCTAAAACCAGAACCGTTCCCTTGGAACGTTTTGCATTTCAAACAAATAAGCAAGCAGACACACAGTGGACTCGTTTGATTAATTGTGTTGTCTCCACGTTTAGGGTGAAGTGCCTTGGCACGGGATTCTCAGCTTCGACGGAAGATACTGAAAGGATGTGCAGTTTCCTTTTAAATTGTACACGCGGGAGACTTGTGTAAACTGGGCACATCGCTTTTTGTACTTGCGTGTAGGAGAGCTTGGGAGAAGGGCTTTGCAGAGGGCTGTTTGCTGTGCAGGGTCCTTGTGAAAGGTCCCACTAACTTTTGTAGTGATTGGAAGTGCTGAAGAATGATGGGAGACAGATACTTCCTTCCCCTGCTCTTGTCTTCCCACGCTCCCCTGTCTCTCCTCCCCTCTCCCTCTTAAACCAAGGGTGGGTCCAAATGGCTTTATTTGGAGAGATTAGCACATCCCAACAAGAACAGAAAGTTTGTTTTCTCCCTCCCCCCCTCCCTTCTTCTCCCACTCCCTCATTTCTTCCCTTTCTTTTTAAAGGATGTGTTTGTATGCATTCTGGACATTTGAATTAAACAACAAATGTACTGCGATCTCGATAGGATCACCATAGATGTGGACAGATCATAAAATTACAAAGCTATATGATCCATAATTGATTAGTCAAAATAACTTATTGATGAAAAATGCAAATATTTTATTGTAGCACCTATTTTTATATGCACATTTAGCATTCCCCTTTCCTTCACTATCTACTCTATGATTTTCACAAAGGTGTCACACTATATTAGGAACTGTATTTCCCAAACAAGTGATATCAGGAAAGCATTTCAAATCATGAAAATATGGAGACATTTTTAAACTAAATTTTGAGCCAATACAACCCACCCAATCGGACCTGTATTTTCTTTCTTTCTTTTTTTTAATGAATTGAATCCCAATGTATAAAATAAAATGTTTTAGGGCAATTTATTTGGGTCATTTGAGTGAGAATCATGTGCAAGTGTTTGGTTTTCTTAGAGAAGATTTGAAAAGTATTTTCATTAGTCAACCAAAAGTCTGTATTGATTTGACTACTATTGTAGCCGATTTTTGATTGTTTAACCAAGCCCAGTTGCATTTGTGCAGGTCCAAGTGTACTGGCCCCTTGGAAGACCAAATGATGGACTGTACAAATCTCTATACATGTCTTTATTCCCTTGGGCAGCAAGCAATGATGATAACCACAAACAAGATTTCTGTAAGATGGGGCTACTGTTGTTACAGTCTCATATGTATCCCAGCACATGTAATTTTTTAAATAGTTTCTGAATAAACACTTGATAACTATGTCAAATCTGAGGGACTGAAGTAATGATTGCTTGAGATATAAAAGATTTAGTTAGATGATTGACTGAATCTCTGATATTAACAATTTAGGAATTGGTACCCAAGCTAACAGGAAAAAAAAAAGTTCTCTGGAATGATAAACTTTGGGAAAAATGTATGCCTGCGTTGGTTCAAGGACATATACATTTTTAATTATATCACCTCATGTGCTTATTAATAACATTTCAATTATGCACTTTGTTTTCCCACTGAAGTATTCATGTGAAACGTGGAGTGTGGTAAGTACTATCCTGCATATTCAGTTTTCCTCAATATAATGTATATTTTCTATGTGTGTATTACTTATTTAGCATACGATTTTTCATGGTTTGTACATGTAACTTATGGAAAACCACCTTTGATAATTTTATCATGGCTACTTTATCTTTATGTAATCCATAATCTAATTATTCAAAATGTTGGTAAGTATAAACTGTTCATCTCTGGGTAAGATTTGCCAGTGCATTGTGCCATAGAATATTATCTTAGGATTTGAAATGTTCGCCTGAATTAACCTGAAGCTTTTTTTTTTTAAATCATTTTATTAGGGGCTCATACAACTCTTATCACAATCCATACACACATCAATTGTGTAAAGCGCATTTGTACATTCATTGCCCTCATCATTCTCAAAACATTTTCTCTCCACTTAAGCTCCCAGCATTAGGTCCTCATTTTTCCCCTCCCTCTCCGCTCCCCCCTCCCTGACCTGAAGCTTTAAAGGGCCTTGTGGTTCATTGTTTTCGGTAGATCTCTCCACAATTTCACTTGGAATGTGAACATTATTAAAAGACGTTCATAAGACTTCATGTTTAAAGAAAACTTCCCATGGCATTCTGCCACAAAGAGGCAGCATCCACCCATAAGTAAATTGACAGTAACTGCTTAAATTCAGATTGAATAGGTGGTAACAATTTCCCTGAGGGATTTAGGGGGAAACTATAATGCCACATTGATCAAATGCAGCAAATTATTCATATCATTGGTAAAAATTTTCCTTCCAAAATTTTAGCAAAAAGGAAAAGAACAAGCTCAATGCTACTATATTATAAGAAGTAAAAAGGTGTCTCCCATTCTTCATCTATCTCTTACTTATTAGATACAGCATTAGAGAAGTAATGTATAAACATTACCATGTGATTCCCAATTGAGATTGTCAGTATGGTTTTATTTGTTCCCTTACAGTGGTATTCTCTCCTTCTATTACAAGGTCAAAAAGACATCTTCAACATTATTATATGTAGGTGAGATCATGCTATGTAAAATATTAAAAAAAAAATGCAAAGTGGAATTTTCCATAGAATTAAGCTTTCCGAATTCTTGCACTGAAGGTAAGAGAGAGTATTGCAGGAAATTCAATTTTGACTTCCAGGAAATAGAAATGCTTCCAAAGAAAATGTGATGCATTCGTCAAAAATTTACAAAGAAATTTCTTCTTCTTCTTGTTTCTTCTGCTCTTGTTTCTTCTCTCTTCTAGTTCCTATAATCTTGTCACATATACTCTCTTTTCTTGGTTCATTAACTTCTTTACTCTTCCTAAAGTGGGCAACATTTTTTTTTCTCTGAAAAATATCATTTATATAATTGCTGGAAAAGGTATATCTAATGTTGAAATTTATTTTCCCAACTGTATTAGGATAGTAAAAGTAAATTCACCCCAACTTAATACACATGAGACATTTTAACATGTCAGATTTGTGAAACTGTAAAGAATTAAGAATAAATTATGTATTTTCCTCTTTACCCCAATTTCTTGCCAACGCGTTAACATATACAATAGGAGAAAGGTTTTTTTCTCTCTTTTTTGCCCTCAAGATCAGAGTCATTTGGTGTTTCTGATTGTTCATTTAGTAAATCATTTGGACAACTCAGAACTTTATAAGAAGCTTAGGGAATCCTTAAGCCATAGAATTTTTGAATTCCCCATCGAAATTTAGAGAATAACACTAGGTTTCCTTTGCTATCCAAATGTGGGGTGTGCTTATCAAACCATTAGTCCAAAATGACATCAAGTGAAGACGCAATTACCATGGTAAAATGTTCCTGGAAAAAAAATGATCATTCTTACATGCAACTATAATCTGCCAAATAACATACCAAATAACGCATGAACGATGCTATATGGTGTTCATAGATGTATTGCACTGCTATGGCAGCTTCAGTCTGGGATGTTGAGTGGAGTCGCAAGGGGAGCATCTCAGTGGGGCCACGGTGGCTGCTGGGGAACCACACTGCCTCTTTACAAGGTTCACTGCAAAACCGCTGGTGAATGTTATTTCCCCCTTTTTCATAGAAAGGAAAACTCTCTCTACTTTATCAACTCTCAATGCCATCAAGTCAATTCTGACTCCTATGGACTCCTTAGTACATAGTAGGACTACCCCTGTGGGTTAACAAATCTGTAACTGTTTAAGGGATTAGAAAACATCATTTTTTCCCTTGGTGGGGCTGGTGGTTTAGAACTGCAGACCTTGAAGTTAGTCCAATGCATAACCAGTACGCCGCCAAGGTTCCTGGATTCCTTTACATTAGCAAAAAAATAGGCCTTCCTAAAAGTTAAGTGTAAAGTGAACTCTCGAAAAACGAGGACTACTTGCATATGCAATGTTTTGGGCAACAATTAAAATTTGGATATAAATTTCATATCTAATTCATTACATATTTCATATCTAATTCTAATATAATCTCATATCTAATATAATCATAAAATATATTCCAGGTAGACATTGTTAAGCTTTTTTTATCAAATATGATTATAGTGTAAATACCTAAATTTACCCATCGAAAAATAAATATATCCCATGTATGTACAGGTAACTTAAACGCTGACTTACAAATCGATTTACAGGTAAATCTATTAATGAAAATTTTGAGTTAATCTACTACAACATAAAAATCGTATGTGAAACGCATATTTACACAGTATTATCATCCTTACGTATGTGAAGTGGATATTGCTTTTAAATGTCTTGAGTACCCAATCTGATCCTCACCAATGTTTCTTCCAAGCCAACAGAAAAACTCATGTGTAAAGAAAACAGCCAGACACAACATGAGCTAGCATAGAATCTAACTTGACATATGCTCAATTGCAGTTTCTTGTGATTAATTCTAGTTAATATGTTTATGTTTCTGTTACAAAAATTTTACAATAGGGTTGTCTTATTTTCTTTCCCCACTCCAGTTTATTCTCTGACTCTGTTCCTCTTTCCTTAAGTCCCCTCCTCCTTCTTCATTCTCGCCTCTTATTCTTTCTTTTCATTAGCCTGCAGTGAGGAAAGTTTGTTTGAAATGCCAAAAAACTGTGGCTTCTCTCTTTCAAGAGGTAAATAAATTGTCCCCGTGTTATATAACTCTAAATTAATTCCAAAGAAATCCAAGTAGATATAAAACATGATCTCCAGTCATTTGGAAATATGCTCTTTTTCCACTGTTTTAGATGTCCCCAAATTAAGTTAGTGACAAATGTTTGAAATGGTATTGTCAAGAATACATGTCTTAGTAAGAAAGAGGAACTAGAGCTTAGAAAACATCCTATTTAAACAGTATAATTTGGGATTATTTAAAGCATTCATTTTCAAAGTGGTTAAATTTTATTAACATTACAGCTATATACTACCAAATTAGCTATTTACTTGTGGGTATGGTTTATTCAACTCCTTAATATTCTCCATTATTTTGCAAATAAAAACATATGACAATAAAAGTTGAAGTATTTGGGTGGACTTTAATCATGTGCCTAACAATGATTTTTGAATATCTATATTCCAGATCTATTAATATTGCAATTGACAATGGTTTTTAGTAGATGTTTCTAACACCAAATATTTTGTTGTTTTAATCCAATGCAATGCTTTTGTATACATATTCATATGTATTTACACAAGTATATATATGTGGCACACACAAATATGCATAGACACAGGTTTAATCCTGACTCCTTTCTTATTTGAAAACTTTTCTTTTTAAGCATTTAACAAGTATGCTATCATATTCTAGACTTAGAGAAGCCAGCCAAGGACTTGAGTGTGGACTAGGTGGATATAGTATAATGTTTGACAGTGACACTGCTCTAATAATTTTACTTCTGTTTTTAGTAGATCATTTGGCTTACAAGATAGAGGTGAAATATTTCTCATGGCAATTGTAGCAGTGCTATAAAATAGTCTTACACTCCGTTTCTAAGAGAACAGCATTTAACCTAAATTAAGCTTCAGTTATTTAGGTTATTATAAAAACATGTTAGAAAGGCCATATATAAATATTTCACAAGTAATTTATACAATACAAATAATTAAACTGACATGTTCTGATTTCATATTTATGTAAACATTTAAAAATAATATTAAATTGCTTAATAAATATAGCAGATAAAATTTTATTATGTACTAGGAAAGTCTTTTGATATAAGGACTAATATTCAGAGATTTGTGAATGGAACTCTTCCAATCAGATCAGTGGTTGGTTTTCCATTAGGTGTGTTTCTCAGTAAAAATGAAAGATACTGTATCTTTCTACTTTAAAATCAACATTTACATCTTAAAATAATGACATGTGCTTATAAAAGCACAAGCTATGAAATGATGTTTTCCAGGATGAATTTGTTTTCTCCTTTATTTAAATTTAATATATGCATAGATAGAATTGTTATTAATATTAATATTTGGTATTCTTTATTAATACTTTAGTACTCTTTGTTAAAACATTGATTGTTATATTTCAAGAAATATTTTAGATACATCACTCCCATTATGACACCAATTCAAATTTAATTGTAGGGTTTAAATATTTAATTATATGTATACTTATATATGTGCAAGCAACAACTCGCTAAAATTTTTTTGAAATATGTATATTTTTGAAATTTTTACTCATAGATTTCTCTCTATCACCGGTGATAATTTTCAGTGTTTCTAACTGTATAACATTCTTTAAGAACTTTATTGTGTACTTCATAAAAATAAGATT